GGAGTTTTCCCGGAGAGTTAGAGAATCTTTTGAGTGGTAGCAGCTCTCCGCTCTCTCCCCGAGGCTTCAGAATCTAGAGTTTCGGTCTACAAGAGGAACGTGGGCACCGTGGACATCATGATGGCGGTCCTAATGCTCATCGTTCAGAGAAACGAACCGTCACTCCGATTTGTTCCCATGTCAGGTCTGCTGAACGCTGAACGAATCAGCGTGCTGTAAAGAGACCGCACTGAAACATGTTTCTGATGTGCGCCGTCATGCTAGACGTTTCAGATGAGACGCGAAACCATCGACGCGTTCCGTATCTACGTCTCGACGACATCGGTGTCGTAATCGAGGCCAGGTCTTAGTTGCAGTCTGCGTGTCTGATAATCTGCTTCTCGCGAGTGCTTCCGCGAAAAATCCTGAACACCGAACGGGGAATTCGGAGAATAATGATCAATCGACAAGACATTTGCCTTGTGGTGATTCCCACCGGACTTGCAGTCCTGGGAGATCATTCCGAATTTCGCGGTGAGCTCCCATTTCGATGCGGCCGCTCACGCGAGATCCTTCGGAAGGGAGTGTTCGGGGAAACTGCAAAGCACATGGTACCTTTCTAAGTGCAGGAGATGAGTGCAGCTTTTAGCGGCTACCGCATGCTTTAGCTGCCCGCGTTGTCACACTTCGACGCGCTGACGCAGGACTACATTAGACCCAGTAAATGAGCCAATAAGGAGCCGTCAATCCCTCACGCAACTCGCAATGCATGCTCCGCTTACATAACACAATTACACTTCGTGTAGACATAAATCCACGTCACCTGACTCTGAACGAGCCGGCTAGCGTGGGAGACGACAGTTTATCAGTTTTTAGCATTACTACATGAATACATGTTTGAAGGATTTTCGCTCGTGGGATGGGGACCCGCGGAAAGCAGATGGGGGAACATCACGCGGGAATTCCCGCTGCTAACTCATGTCGCGCCGTGAGCAAGTGTTCGGGTCTAATGGAATTGATTCGCGATGCTCAAGACAGTGTTCCCGATTCGTGATTCTCGCTATATTTGAGGCACGTTCGAGATGTCGGAGGAAACCTCCACGCATAAGAGAGTTTGAATTGAGCAGGAGAATTCGTTTCCTTGTCCGGACCGGTGCCAAATCTGTATTCAGAAATCAGATTCCGAACAAAGACTCACGACAAAAGTCGCACAGAGCGACAAATTGGCACTGGCGTGGACGTCGCTCTGCGATAGCTTCTTACTGGTCGGGGGATCCTGATCAGTGAGCTGGAAAACGCTGGCGACCGGCAATCGGTTCGGAAAAGTCATTCCGAGCGAGTTGCTCACTCGCTTCAGAGCAATAGCTGAGGGTTCCTACGGATCCGTCGCTACGAAAGAGTGTGGAAGTCGCAACGAGTTGGCACGAGCCGGCTTTCTGATGGGTAGATCCGCCCGTGTGTGCGTGACGACCTTTCGGTGCGGAAGCGAACAGAAGGCAACTTGTTCCGGGATACGGAGGACTCCGTGGGACTCGGCGCGGACCCTGTCGAGATCCTGGGCTGATTATCCGTGCTAACGATTGCCGAGAACTGCCGAGAAGTGCTCAAGACTAAGATGAGTTTGTCTGGAAGCAGCGGGAAATCTCCGGAGGAGCGAGTCTATTCTTGGATACTGAAAGGTCAGCGAGGAAAGAACATTGATTGCTGCTCAACCGGAGTCGCTCATAAGGAGGTTATGTCAGATCCTTCGGACAATCCAGCGGAGGCGCTCTCGAACGTTACAGAATGGTCTCGTTTGGCCTCGACTTGATTCTTGGATGTCTGTGCTGCGGGTCCGGTGGAGCCCGAGCCATTGGAGGGAATCAGCATCTTGCTCGCTGTCTGCGGTCGGCGGCTGGGCTCGAGTCCGCTCGCTCCGGCATCGTCCCGAGACTATTCACAGGTGCGGTCTCACCTTGACACAGAGAGTTCTGGACAGCCAAGTTCCAGTTCAAGTTCCCAAGAGCAACAAAGCGCCGCTGTAGACAGTCGGGAGAGACACGTCATTCATTGTAGACACTGCGGGTCTCTCGACGTCTGAGGGTAGCTCTGAGATCGACCTTGACCGCAGAAGGTCAGCCCATATTCGGTGTTGCCCTTGATGACACTTGAATTAGTTCTAAACTCTTCTCAGACGTCAGATCGTTCGGACGTGCTCCGGCATGAGCAGAAAGCGTTGCGTGCGAACTCCGCTAATGGCGCGGAAAAGCCTCCCTCGATTTCTTGTAAGCCAAAAGATCTAGAGATCAACTATCGAGAAGAAATGTATCGGTGCGAAAGTGAACGAGACTGATGGATGGTGTCTGCTGGAAAACGATTCACTCTCGGCCCCAAGACCCACTGAATGACTCTTCCTAGAGGGTTTGCGAGTTGCATCTCGATTGCGATACTTTGCTCCGGATACACCGATGAGGACGGGAGGACGTCTTCCTCGTGGGGAAACTCCTCGGTCAGGCGTCACGAGCATGCTGTGGAATGAAACTTTGAGCTCGCGATCGGGGAGTTTTGGGCGTTCGGGCCCCTATCCGGCGTGAGGATCATACAAACACCATTTTCACTGACCGTATTCCTTGTTTCAGTGCATCATGGGCTGCCTTATCTACTCGCTGGAAAAATTGAGCGACAGAAAACGTAGAATTCTGTTTTACATCGCCTTCCTGTTGGGAGGGATCCTCACAGTGGGCGGTTTCGTTGGTTTCCTCACTCAACTCAAGGGATGGGCATTCATCACAGTAGTATCGGGTGAGTGGGAATATTCCCCGGATATCGCTAGAGTCAGAAACGAGCACCCACGAAGACTATTATAATTCGCGTTATTCGAGCTGCATTTTGGCTCCCCATCAGACGTTGAAATCCGTTCCGGGAGAAATTCTCGTAAAAACGTCCGGGGAGCTCGTTCACACTCGTGCATGTTTGTCACGACTCATCGGATACGATTCGCAGGTATTTTCATCCTGATCACAACGGGGATCCTCTGGGACACAATGGCACACCCGAACCTCTCCAACCCGGAGGCTTGCGTAGACAACTCAACAAATCTTCCAACGGCTCCAGACAGAGTGGAAGACGAACCGCCACCGGACTACGACAGCGTCGTGCGGAACAAAAATTTACCCCATTCCACTTCAAAGTGAGTGAGGCGCGGAGAGCTCGATTTCTTCAAGAGAAAAAATATACCCATCTACCCGCTGCAGCTATCGAGTCTCCTTCCCACATCAGCCTGCCGCCCCTCCTCCGTACCGGTGTTTTACGACGCAAACTCTTGCAGATGGTCCCTTTACAATCAGACCTGGTGTCCGAGCTTCAATCCGAAGATGGGCTACGATAAAACGGCGACGACGGATTGCGCTGATGTCGTCACGGACGCACCACCGTCGTACAATCAATCCCAAGCTCTTCCTCAGACTCAGGCAACGGAAAACCCCACCAGCAGATGTATTTGTTTTAAGCCCTCCGCCGAGGTTCACGGGCGGAGTGAAACGAAAATCGAGATAGATCAGAAGTGAAGCAGGCTTCTCGAGCGAGACGTTGACCGATTCGTGATTCGAGTTTTAGTTGTTCGGTAGACCGGTGGTCCGTCTACCTCACCACTACAGCGACGATTGATTCCGACGCAGCAATCATCAACGTACTTATTATTACTCCTGTAACTTATCATTACGTCAAAGCTATTATCGTCTGCGATAGTCATGGCGACTATCTCTACCGCGACTATTACCACTATTTAGGTATCTTTATTGCGACTTCAATGTAAACGATTGTGATCTATTTTCGTATTGGAGGCGTACCGTCAAACGCCAGGTCGCTCTAGTCACTCGATGGCAGACGGCTTTGACGTGATCGTGTGCGTAAGTGTGAAACACTTGAATACAATTTATGGAGCGCTTACCGCTACAAGTACATATTATGAATGCCGTCACAAGAATTCTTGCTGTACCAATGCACGACTTATGGAGCGAGAAGAGGGAGAGCGACCGGTCTTATTAAGTTAGACGTAGGACGAGAGGAAAAACCTACCGTTTCGCCAGTCGCTTTCTCTCGAAGTGTTTATACATACATCAATGTATTGAGCTATTGTAGGAATTATTGTTGCGCTGTTTTGTGACGAGAGTTTACGATGCGTCCAAGAGCGTGTTTAGAGGCTGGTGGCAACAGACGATCGAGGGTCCGAGCACAGTCGAGATTTTCCGATCCGATTTTTAAAAAAACATGCGATGCACTATTTGTTCAGCTCGGCCCGGACGTCTCGGGTGTTGCCGGCCTAGACCAGCCAGAGTAGCAGCGTCGCCGTAAGCATTCTGTTGATCTGCGTTACCGTTGGAGAGGGCGCAATCCGGGGCCCGAGCTCCTGATCTCACGGAGGGCGAGCTCCCTCATGGTGGAGTACATGAGGAGATACGAGAGGAAACTTGCCCTTCGAACTCAAACACTTGAGCCATTCTCTTCCCAAACACGATTGTTACTCCCGAGGTTTGATCGAGAATTCATCGAGTAGCGACTGGATTGGAGTGTATGAAGGAAAGCTCTCTGAATCCGACTCCGGCGCCTGATGTATTTTTAGACTTGATTTCTGACCATGGTCTTAATATCCCCTCACCCCCCTTCCAGAATACCACTTGCCACCCCGTCCGCCCTGAGCTCCCAAAAACACATCTTCCTCCTTCGAATGAGGTTTAAGTTACCATTTTATGCTAATAAATGGAGATGAGAGTGTTTTCCGAACATGTCTGAGCGGATCCTCTGATGTCGGATGAAACTTCAAACGGTCGAGGGCCATCCGTGTTACGAACAAGAAGTTCGGGACCCACGAGGACCCAACGTACAATCAGATTGAGGGGTTCCTCTTCTCCCAGCTTTCCGGAAATTCTCCGGAAACATTTCCAATGAAAAGACCCGTCTGGGAAAAACTCCATTTTATGGCATAGAAACTTCGGCAGGGGAATTTGAACAAGGAGAGGTGTGGCAACCGGAAGAGTTCAGGCTCAGCTTTTGTCAGGAGTCGATTTACTATCTGACATGTGATTGCGCAGGACCGTCGACGGCGTAGCTTGGAGGACCTTCCGAGAGACTCGCATGTGGCCGGAGACGGGATCTCTCCCGTAGTATTTCACCCGGATTTCTTGACCCACCGTCAAGCCCAAAGCTGATGGATGATTCACCTGGAGAAACGTTTGAGAGTTCATCGCTGTATACGTTTCCTGGGGAATGTATGGCGAGCGGCCAGACGAATACACGGCATTCATGATTGGCTTCGAGGCGGAAACTCACTTTTCTCTGATCGAGCTGCGAGTTGTGCAAGAGCGTCGGCGTCATATTGGGGTACAGCTGGATCATGACACCGGATTCGCGAACTTCTACAATTTTTGCGGTGTACACGCCACCGAACTCGAGCGTGGGCTCCCGACTTTCGGCCAAAACCGAGTTCATCATCTCCTTGGCTTCCAACAACGCCGTCTGCGAAACACTCAGGATCGTCACGGAGCGATTCACGGAGACTTTTGAATATGTGAATACAATTGAGGGAAAATTCCGGGAAAATGGAGACTCTTGCCTGATTCGGAGCGAACACGTCGAACGCGTTGTCGTCGAGAGGAACAAGGGTCACACCGGTTTCTGCGGTTATCTTCCTCAGATTCCTTCCAGCGAGTCCAACGAGCTGACTTCGTTTGTGCGCCGGGACTTCAAACTTCTCAACCACTGGCCAATTGTCTTTCTTCTTCGATCGAGCTTTGGGAATGGTTTTTCGCATCGTTTTCAATATTTCGTTCGTTCCTTGGATCCCCTCGCTTATCGTTTCCATAACCACCCTAATCGGCAGACCGGGAATCTTCACGTCGGCCTGGAGAGCTGTTATTTTCTTCGAGCTGCCCGCAATCTTGAAATCCATCTCTCCGAGGAAATCCTCGATACCCTAGCGGAAAAACAGAACCTGATCCTCGGACAAAGCTACGGTTTCCGACCGTCGAAGGAACCGGAAGGGAAACTCTATTGGGGCAAACATCCCTGTCGGACATACCAAAATATCGGTGAGGATTTTATATCTCTTGAAGTGTTTCGGATCCTCGGGGTCGCTCTCAGAAATCAAACCCATGGCTATTCCTGCGGCTGAGCCTTCCAACTCAACTCCAGCGTCCAGTAGTGCGAGAGTCCCGCCGCAGACTGCCGCCATGCTCGATGATCCATTGGATTCGAGAACTTCGGATGTGAGCCGAATCGTGAAAGGAAAGTCTTTGGGGACAAGAGGCTTGAGAGCTCTCTCCGCGAGGTTCCCATGACCCAGTTCTCGTCTTCCGATACGTCCGGAACGCCCGGTTTCGTTCGTCGCATACGGGGGGAACTCGTAGTGTAACATGAAGTTTTTCTCCTTATTGCCGCTGTAAAAATACAAACACACGGTTAGTTTCAGGAACAGGCGAAACGAGGAACCCGAAATAGTTCCGGCCTGGTACCATACGTTCCCCATAGGCGGGGTTCGGGTCGTCGTTTCATCGGTCACAAAAGTCAAGTATCGGGACAATTTCATTGGGAAACTCACTCTAACAGCTGCGACACTGGGTCCAACTGTCGGAGAGAGCTGTGCGGCGAATCGAAGCTCACGGTGCACATGACTTGCGTCTGGCCTCGTTGGAACAGAGCCGACCCGTGCAGAGGCTCGAACAGATTAGTCTCACAATATATGTTTCGGATGTCGTTGAGTTTCCGGCCGTCCATGCGTTGCTCCTCATCGAGAGCGAGATCACTGAAGACTTTCTTCACGACAGCTTTGAGGGATTCCTGCAGAATGAAGTTATCTGCCTCCGGGAACGCTTCCTGCGAGTCAGAAACGAGGAAACATTTCTGAGATACTCCGGCTCTTGACTCATACAAACGACGTTCCTGACGTAAGGGCGAGGCCGATTCCCATGTCGATTTAGTATTATTGTCGGAGAAATTCCGCGTCCGTTTTCCGGTTGACTCCGTCTCATAAGACGACCAGATCACTTACTGTGAGTTTCACCAGCGCTGTCTCTCTGACGACGCTGAGAGCTCTATCTCTGGACAATTTATCATGGGAGAAGTCTGTGAGTACTTCATAGACCTGATCTCTGGACAACGTCTCTGCCATGGAGATCATCTCTTGGGAAGGTACGAAGTACGCCGCGACTTCGCGCTTTGGTTTCCCGTGAGTTCTTGCGAAATCCTCGATCGTTTGGACGATTTTCGAGACCTCCTTCATCCCAACCTTCACGGATTGCATGAAATCCTGGACGCACAAGTTGTCCGCACTCGCCTCCAACATGACGATTTTACTGTGTTTAACGCCGGACACGATAAGGTCCAAGGAACTGCTGGCCATTTGTCGTCGGGTTGGATGGGGAACCGCTTTTCCGTCGATGAAAGCCACCCTGCAGGCTCCGACAGGACCGTTGAATGGAATGTCGGAGACGCAGAGAGCCGCCGAGGCGGCATTTATGGCGATTACGTCCGGGTCGTTCAGGCCATCGACGGCCAGGAGGTTGCACACGAGCTGAGTCTCATAATGGTAACCGGCAGGGAACATCGGCCGAAGGGAACGATCTGTGGAGAAATCAGAGGAATCGGACGATGGGAAGCTTCTCTTCTGTATACATATTATACCCCCATTCTTGAGGAGTTATTTCGTCATCATGGATAAGAATCATGCCCGAATTCTCACCGATGCTTCTGCTGGTGAGAATCTCAAAGTCGGTGGGTCCGAGCTCGCGCCGTAAGTGGTTCGTGGGGATTCGGCCGGCCGCTGCAGCTTTTTGCCTGTAGTCGACCTGGAATTTTGCTCTGCTATCATCAAGTTGAGGAAAATCGATTTGTGAGACAGGAGGAACAAAACGATAGGAATTCGTAATATTCGGCGGGAAAAAAACATCGATCCTGGGATTCGAACCCACGCCCCTGGGCCCGCGCTCCGTATAACTAAACGCGTTCCTTCGCCGTAAATGACGCTTTCAACGATGAGGTTGGGTCCGATACGCATGTTTCACTTAGATGCCCGACGAGGTTCGAGTACCGGACCAGGCCGTAATCGGGTGATTCTATTTACGAGTAAGATAATGCCTCTAGCAGATATCAATCGGTAGAGGGGTAAGACACTCGGTACAGCTGCTCCATTTTCATTAGGACAACTTATCGCGTCGAAGAATATCGAATCGGATTCGAGGGCCGATTTGTTGGAATACTCACCGAGAGCGGCATAAAACTGTTCCGGGTTGGGGAAGTCTCACTTACTGCAGTGACCAGAACAGAAGTCTCCCCCATCTGCGCGATAGCCGCTCCGTCAGCGAACTTCGCTAGACGGCCCATTTTGAAAGTCAGGTTCTGACTGGAATCGTAGGGAAGAGCGAAATCTCTTAAGAGAAGAAATTAGAAAACGATGGATTTTACTCATGGAGAGTCCCACAATTCGGAGGCGATGGCGGATAGTCATACGGTACCGTATTCCATTCGATTTTTTTTTCTATTGGAGAGCTCGCGTCAGGCACGTGCGTCGGTCTCAATCACGACACTCACTTATTGCCACACTCCATCGACAAGGAGAATTCAGAACCCTCGACCCCGCGCGAGCAGTTCCTCCGAAGAGAGCTCTGAAGGTTTTGATTCTGGCCCTGGCCGGCATAGCGGATGCTCTGGAGGAAACGACCCCCTATTCTGTACATGGTCAGCGAAGTTTATCGAGGTACAATCCGGAGAAGGGATATTCCCTTCAACGAGGATCGGTGAACATCAGTACGATTGGACAACTGAAACTTCCTCGGTTCACGTGTTGTCGAGAGGCGCCCCGCAAGCGACCAAACGAACACAAGAGACAGCGGCGGCGCGGATCGCGCGATTTATTTACTCTCGATAGCAGACGTGCTCGCAGACGAATTTTCGAGTTCCGAGGCCAAGTGATTCCAGACGCGGAATTCCGTGATGCCGCCGAACTGAATCCTGCTCGTTCTCGCTTGACGGAGCCGCTCAATAACGGCTGCGATGGCCCGCGTCGTCATTTGACAGGGGAGATGGGTGCTTGGTGTAGTCTTTCCGTCGGAAATGGACGGTCTATTCCATGCATGAAGTCGAAGTGTACTCATTCCAGTGGCGCCAAGGGATCCAGCTTCGGATCGAGGAGAGACATGGGATTGGATCGATGATGCGAAACGGAGAATACTTCGCGATTCCGACTCACAGAAACCTGGAGGGAATCCCGCGGCCCACACGCTCCCGCTGTCAGTTTACCGCAATGGCCTCTGATCCTGCCTGCCTACGATCTCCCGCCGTCCGGAATCAGGCTCGACGGGGGAATCTGTGGGATCTGAATGACCTAACGCCCGGCGTTCTGGGGTCGTGGCTACGGCGGAGAAGCCCGCTCGCTACGAGACTCTTTCAATTGATTGGAAAACTAAGTTTATTGTAGAGTTGGTATGTATTTGCACAGTCGTTTGAAGGATATTGTTCAAGAGGCACCCTGTCCCGATCGTCTCTATACATTTTCTCGATGAGCTCCTGCCCGAGAATCAACTTCGAGGAGCTTAAACGGAAAGGTGGCTATGCGGCATGCATAGCGAAGGTACAGAGAGCGGTGTATCTAGGAACCATTAGCTTGACCCTCGAGAAGGGGTAGGTACTAACATGTGAATGGACTTGGTGATCCGGTCGTCTTACAGGACCAAGCATCCGGTCGATGAAACAGATCGAAATAACATGGTTTTGATCGCTCGGGACGAATGAGGAGCGGATAACAGTGGTCGAAGGAGGAGGCTGAATGCCGCAAAAACGTCGTAATTGCGAGTGCCACGAGAGTTACGTATTCTAAGGGAAATTGTTCCACCACTCATCGTGTTTCATAGGAGTAGGAATTAATGTATGCCTCCACAAAGGGATATGTAATCCGTAAAGTCAAAAGTCAATAGGAAAATAATTGTTCCTCGAGCGTAAGTCTAGTTATAGACTCGACGTTATCGAAAACTATATGCTTATGAGCCCTTCTTTGCAAATCCCGGGCATGGTCAAGATCGAATACATTCTGGTGAAACGCAGATCGGTTTCCCCCTCCTCTCTGACAGTCGGGAGAGGAGAGATCGATTCGTCGTAAGAAGACATCTCAGAAAATTAGTGAAACTTTCAATGACAAAAGTTCAAAATTCCAATGAGAGTCTGCTCAAAAGTGAAATACATCCATGACAGCTCCCTTGGGAAGTTGCGGATATTTGGGCGGTCCAAGATGCGAGAACGGCAGCTGTTTCCTGATTTCCTTACCTAAAGTCAATATTACGTGGCTCCGGAACTCGGACCTCTCGGGTTCGGATGGCTAGAAATTTCAGATCAATTTTGCAAAATGTGTTTCGATGAACGGTTTTCGATTTTGTTCGAAGATCCACCGTTCCATTCCCCTATAAGTCAGATCCCTGTCAGTTGAATCCGAATCTTGATTGTCCGAAATTTGATTCAAGCGCTCTAAAGCGATTCCGGGCATCGATGACGTGCGCAGCATAATTCGCTGTAATAAAAAAATCAGGCCCTTGAATCAGCAGTTCCTAGAGCTGGATTCGCCGAGGGGATGCTACCCGAGGGATTGATTACATTCCCCTCTGAGTTCAGGATCGAAATTCGAAGGATGTAAGAGCTGAACTCACCTGTAGCTTGATTTTGGTACCGTGAGAGCTCTTGCAATGGTGCTAAAAGTCTTTCCTCCTCGAGATGGTTGACCCCCTCTCGATCTGTCGAAAGCTCGCACAGCACTAGAGCCGCTAGCCGTGTTATGTTCTCAATCTGTAAAAGAGTGATACATTGGTCCAGGGTGTCCCTCGAAGTACCGTTATTATATTGATATCTCATCCCGAACTCCACCCACCTCACAATACATGAGTCGCACTAACAGTACAGCGGCGTGCAACGATCTTATAGTGGGCCTGTTGGCCGCATCCTTAGCAAGGATGTGGAACGCTCCTAGGATCGCGTCGATGATCTCGACCATCTTCACGCCCTCGAGTACGGGCCGCGGCGTCGAATTTTGAGCACCGTTCATCACTTCCGTCGATGCTCTCTCGAGCGTCTCCTTCATCATGTGCATCAAGTTATGCTCCCGGAAAAGAACATGATTTTCCTGATGCAACGCGAGGTTTCGAATGAGTCCGATTATTGCTTTCTTTAAAGGCCAGCGTGAGACGTGGAGAAGCTTCGCAATGGTCTGAATGCCGTGGTATTTGCGAACGACTTGCTGAGCGAGCTCCGCCTCGGGGTACCGGCAGGTCAGATGTCTCAGACAACAAATAGCGGGCTCGGTGATTTCTTCCCGATCTCCAGCGTGATAAACTGTTTGCAGCAGGGCCTCGCATCCCCCGATGCGGAACACGATCGACTTGTTTCTCTGGTTGTTGCAGGTGAGGTTCGAGAGCGCGCCGGCAGCGCACGTGATGATGTCCACGTTGGACGAAGTGAGCAGGCGCACCAATTGATGCAGAAGCCCTTCGATGTTCTCCTGAAGAGGTCGAGATCGTTGGTTAGATTCTCATTCGGGTGGGGAGCTCCGAGAGTCCCGATAGCTGGGTTATTGGAAAGTTATTTCTCAAGCTCCCTCATACTCCTAATCGACGAGCTCAACCCGAGGGGAGCCACGTGCGAGAAGGAGTCCCTTATTATCGGCACAAGTTTTCACTTACTGCAAGCGCAAGGATTGATTTAATCATTGGAAGCGACGATTAGTGCGGATTCAAAGGTTATTATTATTGATATATATCGGAACTGACCTGCGGTATGGCGGCGTCCGAGAGATTCCGGATTGTGAACAGGCAATTTATGACCAGCCGACTGGACGTACTGCCTAGATGCTGAGTCAAGACTTCGATCCCTCCGGCTTCGATGATGGCCGGTTTATTTGATGAACAAACCGAAAGAACCTACGATACAAAAATAGAAATCAGTCCCGGATGCACTCCGAGACGTATGTATAGGGCAAATTACACAAAGCGCTCATCACGAAATTGAGATGACAGCTGCCTCCGCTCCGAGACTAACTGACCTTCAGGACCCTCGTGGTGGTCCAGAGTAGCTTCTCGTAGTTGAAACTTCTCAGGATCCTCAACAACTCGGAAGGACCACCCGATGCCAGGATGGTCAATTTTGCAGCCTGGTTTCCGTACGCGAGAATTTGCAAACAGTCGGTGACAATCGTCAAGAACTTCGGATTGTTCCTCTGAAGCAGGCACACCATCTTCTGAAGGCCTCCGGCGATGCTGACCGCGGTTTTCGATCCTTCCTGGTAGAGCAACAAGTTATGGAGGGTTGTGATGACATAGAACACGACACCCTCCAGAGGCGATGAAAGCAGCTTCACCAATGCGGGTATGCCGTCGGCCTCGAAAATGCCTTGGCGACCTTCTCGTTTTCGAGAGAAGTTATGGAGAGCCCCCGCAGCGCAACGTGTCGTCTCTGGATCGTTGGAGTTCATGAACGCCTTCACAATCGACGCGATCATCTGCGGGTATTGTATGAGTACGTCGACCGAAGTGTCCATGTTCGAAAGCTGATGGACAGTAGCTGTGGCCTGAGCCACCACCACCTGATCCTCATCGTTCAGGAGCTTCACCAGACCCGGGAGCGCCCTGGCAGCTGGAATGAGGGAGGGCTCCGAGGCAGGACCCGACAACATTTGAACGTCGGAGATCATTTGCAAGTTCACACCGTCATGGTCTGAGAACTGGCTCGATGAAATTTCCATTTGCTCATCGATTGTCTGATTGAAGATGGTCGATCGACCTCTCTGCGATCTGGGTGGATTGATCTGTTGGGTCGCAACATCCATGCTCTGCTCCATGGGAACAGAGCCGCTGAACTGGGAACCGAGACCATTGGAGTTGGTCTCCCAATCGAAGGCGTCCCAATTATCATCGTTCATCTGCGTAGCGACGGACAACGCTCCACTCACGACCCCGGAGTCGGTTTCGTCGTTGAGGTAGGAGTCCTGTTGCCACATGCTCAGCTGTTCTTGGTGAGATATGTTCGATTGGCCGGGCAACGCGCAGGCGTAGTCAGGCTTCATTGCTGGTTTCATCTCGGAGGTATCCACTGAGAAGAGAAGAAAAAAACGAAATCACCCCAGAGTTCCTTCAATCCGCGAGGTAGAGATCTCCTGGTGGTTTCTTCTTCTATCGCATTGGAATTCGGGATCCTTAGTTTCATGATTTTGATCGCAGACTTGAACTCACTCGTTCCTCGCTATTCCTTGTCTTGCGCTCAGGTGGTGTTCGTGGGGATTTCAGTTTCTGCAAGGGCGAAAATTTGGAAATTGCTCAGTTTCGTGTGAGTAAGTGTTTCGAGAATCGAGACTTATGCTCCGCTCCGAGCTCGAGTCCGAACCACAGATCCGTGTCTTCTGCTCCGGGGAAGACGCTTGATCGATTGATCTGGTTGCGGGTGAAGTCGGCGAAGCGAATCGAGTCGTGGCCATACGCGCGTGCCTGGGAGTCTTCTTCAAGCACGAACAACAGTGCTTGGGGGACTGACTGAGTGAGAGCGGACAGCTCTTCATGGCGTCGAGCCCCATCTTGGGCCTCAAAGCGACGCCTCGAAGCGCGGAACCCGTTCACGATCGAATTGATCGAACTGAAGGAGGTCGGACGGATATTCCGTCTGTGTGTCCGGATTCAGAAAGACAGGTATCGAAGCCGTATCGAGGCTTCGGGAGCTCGCTATCCGGAGAAGCGGTTCGAGATTCGGAGATCGAGTAGTCTTTGAGCCTTCTCGACCGGGCAATTCCCCGATAAATCGGGCGGAGCAATCACGGTTCATTTCGAGAGCATCACGCCATTCATCGAAGTGGCACTCCACAGCAGATATGGCCTGCCCTCTTGAGGGAAACGTGGCTCCTTATATCATTCCACATTGTACACCTCGAGACTTCATAAGCCCAAACCTTCGACCAGAAATCACCGACGCTTTCCAATATTCTCAGGAAGAGATCAGCTAGCCTCCGAAATATGCATCCCGAGCGGATCGGTCAATTCATCATTCCGTCTTTTACAACATCCCGTACACCGTAGCTACGAGATTAAGGGATAGGACGAGGGCAAAAATGCCAAGTCGATGCCTCGAATCGCTCTCTGCTCTGCAGATGATCATTCTGTTCTGACAAACACGTCCCATCCCTAGCCGATGCAACACGATCCGAAGAATTTCAGAGAATCCACCGGAATCATCATGTTCCAATTTCAAGCCTCAGAGCCGAGCTCGATGCCTTCCGTGGATCTCGCGTGGATTCTGGCTCGGCTCGTGATTCTCAGGACGGACTTCATCTAAATAATCGCATGATTCCAGCGATCGATATCAGGGCAGGTTTCGAGCATTCCCGAAAGATGAGCTAGACTGGAATCCTCTCTAGTCCGCGGCGGGGTGCCGAGACCATCTCGAAGATCCTCGGCGAAGAGAAAGATCGAGACTCTCCGGGAGCCTCCTCGGTCTCAATCCACCGTTACGCCGAGCCGTTAGGACATTGCGCGGAGAACATCCCGCATTTCTCGCAGTTCAACGATGAGATTTCCTCATGTACCGAAATGGATTGTTCCGACCACGTCCAGGAGACGCTCCAAGAGGTTTGGTGAGAGCAAGCGAAGCGACGCGCTCTTGGACCTGCGAACTATTCGTACCTGTTCAGCCAGAAAGCGTAGATTGTGTCGAGTCGTTCGTCCACTAGACACCGGGGAAAAGTTCGAACTCGGGGAGAATCCGTCCGTCGAAATCTCAATGAACTACAGCCACTTCACATAACGTGGTTCGGAGCCAGTAGATCCCGAAACCTCCATCGAGCGAATCACAACAAAAAGAGAATCGACTCAGCGAGTTGTTGGAGGCGCTCTTGGAATTCCGACGCCGCTGCCGCCTTTGTGACGTCACGATCATGAACGCGTTGGGCAGCAGCAGAGGAGGAGCACGCCGCAGGCGAGCACAGGTTAGCTGTTGATCTACACACCGAAGAGCAGGTGGAGAGAAGGAGAGCTTGGGTTTCTATACTTGCGCCGGTGCTGCGGCGATCTTCATCAGCTGGTCGGTGCTCGTCTTGCCGGACCAAGGATCCGATCCCGACGAAGTTTCGCGAACCCAGGTCGACGGTGCGGAGCTCGGGCACCACTGGCCACCCAACCAAGGTTCGGGGCGAAAGTCTTCACCGCTGGGCCGGGATCGTCCGCAGATGACCGGAAGAGGTCCAGAGAGCTCTGTATGCCGCTTATTCTGTGGTCCAGCCTCTTGTTTCAAAACTATTATCCTCAGGGAGGATTGGTCAAGCAGGGGTGCACCCGGAAATGAGGGGCAGGGCATGGCACCCTTGCCATCCCCTCAAGCCAAGCCTCGAATTTTTCCATCTGACTCGCGATTTCTCTGCTAGAACCGATCCGGAGACTGTCCGGTCAACCGGGTGCGAGTCCGTGCTCCGCGTCTGATTTGTTTCAGGGTTGAAGAAGCGCGGAGCTCGCGTCCTCTTCCTCCCAATCGGAGGCTACATACCAATGTATCTCTTTGAGACCATTCGTGCCATCGCATATTCTACCGACTCCATGACCTGCGCGGACAGCATAACGACGGATGGCGGTCAATCCTGAGATCCCATTGAATTCCATCGTATATTTCTTCGCAATTCTTCGTTTCGAACGCCAGTACGAAGTGGATGTCTGGCCGATTCCATGTGTTCTGATGATATTTTTTTTTGTAGCAAGATGATTGGGCATTAAGAAACCTATTGTTCAGAAATGATGTTCCCTGTAGCTGTCTGATACACTGAGAGAGACAGTGTTCTTTCTCCTTAGCTCTTTCCGCTTTTTCTGGATCTATATAAGCACCGCAAAACATTGAATAAATCCTGGGTAACACCATCTGTTTGTTCGGCTATACTAAGTTCTGTTGGCCAATCCTGAATACGTTATCAAGCACGAGTTAGCTCTACGTAACCTTCAAAAGTAAGTCATCATTTACTTGTTTAGACTAGGCCCCACGATGTCCTCTCCGGACTCCACGGTCACGGATCCAGACCACAAGAAAGCCGTGACACAATGCCAATCATACAGGAAGAGACCGTAAAAAAATTCAAGAGAGCAAATCTAACTGCTAAGCAAATTCTCTATGCTTCTATACATCCAAATCTTATTGTATCTCTCTTCTATGGAGAAACCGAAATCCTCACTGCCCCCGAAATCTATGAGAAAATCAAAATAAGGTTTGCAAATCAGACTGGCATCATCAGAGGCACAGCAATCTCCACATTCATGTCGTTCAAATTTCTCAAAAACAAATTGATGGAAGAAAATCTGACTATCTTTAAAAATCTTCAAAATAACCTCACTGAAACTGGTTTCATAATTCAAAGTGAAATCAAGTGCGCTCGACTTCTCGCGTCATTGCCCAAAGAATGGGACTCACTCAGATTTGCTTGGGCTGCAAGAGCCAAAGAGGATAAGACCTACACCCTGCTACTGGAGGTGCTCCGAGCTGAGGGCGCGAGAAGAGTTCAGGAAAGGGAGGTGGATAAAGCCTCAGCCCTACTTGCGCAAACCAGAATTGGTGGTTCTCGAAATTCTGATCAGAACAGAAGAGGTAGATTTCGCAGAAGGCTTAGACCAGGCAACTATCGCAGTTCTGTCCAACAGACAAATCAACGAAGGGAAACCGATACGCGTACCAGAACAGAAATCAAGTGCTACAATTGTGGGTTAATGGGACACATGCAAAACGCATGTCGCAAGCCGAGGAGGAACTTGGATTCTCGAAACAGGCCGAGAGCAAATGTTGCCGAAGCTTTTCCGGCAGATGCTTTCAATGTCCAAGAAAAATCAAACCAGCCACCAATCCTCACGGTCATGGAAATTGTGCGCAAGGGAGCACAGACCCAAAAGAGGACATAAAGCATGCAGAAATACCGAAGCAGAGTCTTCGAGGATTCCACGAATTACTGGCACATATCAACAAGGAATATGTGAAGAAGTTTCTCAACCTATACAAGATAAGCTATCATGACGATCTAGATCAATGCCAGAGCTGCATTATGGGGAAGCAGACCAGAAGCTCCTACCACAGTCGGCCTGAGCAGGCAAAAGCTAAAGAGCCCGGCTCAGTCTCAGCAGATCTGTGTAGCCCAGCTACTACGTCACTGGGTAACACCATCCGGAGCTCGTCACTGGGTCCTGATATCCGGAGCTCGTTCATATCCACTCAGAAACCTTGAGGATCATCGCGAAGAGGGGGGAAAGTTACGATCACGGACGAGTTTCGTACGAGTATGATGCTCGCGTAGCATACCTTTGCAGACACGTCTGTGCTCCGAGGAGAGCAGAAAAGTCTGTGCTCGGCTTGAGGGACGCCTCCAAGCTGCAGATCCGTACTGGTCTCGACTTTTCCGAGAGTTGAGATCAATCTGGGACGAAACTTGGATTTGGTCGTCCTTGTTCGAATGAAACCCATGAGTTACCGCTGGAATTGGTGTTCATCATGACCAAGGAAGAGCGGGAAAACTGGGCAGCTTCCCCTCCGAGCTGATTCGGGAGGAACTCATCTCGCTCGACCCTACCATGACTAAGACGAAAGATTCGCATGGTAAGAGGGTGAGGACCAGCTTCTGACTGACACGAGGGGAAGCACTCTCAGGGGTGATTGCGCGGTGCAACAGTGTCCACCGATAGTCGTGTAGTTCGGGCAAGATCCGCATCAGCGCTGTGAGCGATGTGTGGGCCGGTCAACAATACGACGAGCAACGCTCCCGTCCGCCGCCGCCGATCCTCTCCAGCATCTTGAGTTTTCCACACATTCCCGATTCATGAGCCGGTACCGCTGCGTGTGAGTTCAGTTTCGTGAAGCTCTCCGTGAATCGGTTTCATCGTTGATAGCCAGCTCAGCTGTTTCCGAGATCTCATGCACAGGCGAGATGTAAACATGTCATCTGCTTGATCCCTCTCCACGCCGACTACGCTCCTTCGGGCCCACGGGTTCCGAACTCGAATCACTGCTACGATTCCACTTACTCCATACCCGCAACCGCATGCGAGGTGAGTCCGCTGAATATCAGACTTTCTCGTCGGATGAAAAGCAAGGAAAATATTGAGCGGAGATCTGGCCTCGGTTTGCTCCAGACGTCAGGCACAGCTGATTTCCATCGGGAACCATGTGTGATAAATTCCGCGTGCTTGGCGCAGAGACCGGTCGACCGTGGGGGGGTCGCTGTCGGTCAGGAAGTTTTTGAATTTCCGAAATACCTTAGTGCTCGAGGGTTCCGGCTCAGTAGCCCACGGGCTATTTCACTGCTCACGTCAGACATCTCCGGCGAGAGCCGATACACCAGATTTCAACCTTTGTCGATGAGAGTTTCCCTTTACACATATAGATGTAGCAGCTACTCTGTCTCCTTTTCGGTATACGTGGCGTGGCATACGTGAGAGTCTTATCCGCGTTGCATCGATGTGGGGATGTAACCCTCCCGGCGCTGGTTTCCTGGAAGTTCGAACACTTGCCCACCTAGGGCGACGGAATGACAAAAATGCGTCTCGTCGATGGCCCGTAGAGCTCCGAGTCGCTGGGAAAGATATACGAGGCGTGCGAGTATCTAAGCCGCCGGTTTTTTTTTTCAGATGTCGGTTGAGAGGGAGGAGAACTATCCCCCGATAGGGAAGATCGGGCTGTGGGATTCGAAATTCAAGCTCTTCATGGGCTCAAACGTACTTATATTCGCGGTAGTCATCGGGTACTTATCGGTCCTTCATCAGAAAGAAGCAGACGTCATCACGCCGTTGAATGCTCCGCACATGGTCACCAAATCAGGATTGGCGGTCCCGGAGAGGTATTGGGGCTCCTACAGGTCGAACCTTTATTTCGGTAAGCGACGTCGCGGGGTCGGGTCCGCAATTCAAGCTCACGATCCATCTGTTGGGAGAAATCTTCTTCGCATCAGATGCATGACCGTCCACCTGCTCTAGAACTAAAATACTCGCCCCCCCCCCCCCAGGCATGAAGAACAGACATCCCGATCCTCTGAACTTCGGTCTGATGTGGTTCAATCAGAAACCCAGCGCCAACAGTTTAAACGTCCGGCATTGGTGCTCGCAGCGAGATGGTCTGCAACGGTATTCGTGGCTCAAGCACGACGGCGTGAACTTCGGAGAACAGACCATCATCGACGGCAATCTCAACATAACGACCTCTTTCGTCAAACGGAGAGGCCTTCGCGGCGGGGAGTGGACCGCCAGGATAAGCGTGGAGCCAGTGAAGGTTCCACCCCCGAAAGTAGCCAGGGATCCGGAACCCATGTCCCTGTTCTTTTACGCCATGGCCGACATCGAAACGCACAATTTGAGCGTGAATTTGATTGAGAAGACTCGAGTCGAGAGTATACAGGGTAGTTCTCCTGACATCGGCCGTTGGAGACTGCGCTTCCTCGGGGACGGTAACGACCCGATGAAATACAGTTATTTGAGTACTGTCGTCCCCGGGCCAGAAGACATAATCGAAACTCTACACCGGACCGTGCGTGCCGTGAAACTGCCGAATCATCCGGTTAAACTGTTCTTTCTCGAAGGAAAAGTTTTCATACCGGACGATCCCGTGAAAGAACCTAATTTCGTGACGACGCAAGTGACCGTGACACCTCCGTACACAATGGAGGTTCTCTTCCAAAACGTAGAGAGTGATCTCGACCGTGAAATCGACAACGAACTCCAGGGTGAAGTTTACACCAAGGAATTGGAACTTCACAAAGCGAAGTTCGATGCCAAGTTCGACTCTCTGTTCCATCTGAAGGAAAAATACAAGCCGGAAGATGTGCAGACCGCAAAAGCCGTTCTCAGCAACATGGTCGGCTCGATTGGCTATTTCCACGGCCGGAGCTTGGTCAAAGGTCCCGATAACCGGGAAGTGGTTCTCTACTGGCCGGCTTCTCTGTACACTGCGGTCCCTTCGAGGTCGTTCTTCCCGAGAGGATTTCTCTGGGACGAGGGATTTCACAATCTTCTGATCTCGAAGTGGAACCCCGAGATCTCAAAAGACATCATCTCGCACTGGCTTGATCTCATGAACAAGAACGGCTGGATCCCCCGGGAACAGATTCTCGGAGAGGAAGCAAAAGCTGCGGTTCCTCGCGAATTCATTGTCCAGCGGAGCACCAACGCCAACCCTCCGACATTGTTCCTCGCTGTTCAGACATTGCTGAACATGATGAAAGCTCGGGAAATCCCGGATGATCTCGAATTCGTCAGGAGGGCTTATCCCCGATTGCAGGCGATATACGAATACTTCGAGCGAGAGCAGAACGGCGTCGAGGACACGACTTACAGATGGCGTGGGAGAGACCCCGACGCCAGAACCGAGCTCAATCCTAAAACACTAGCCTCAGGTCTCGACGACTTCCCACGAGCTTCCCACCCAACCGACGAAGAGAGACATATCGATCTCCGCTGTTGGGTCGCTCTGATGGCAGAAGTTCTCGCTGATATAGGTCAGAAACTCGAACTCCCCGAGAGCCTCCACAAACAATATCGGGAGAAACAGGAAGTGCTCAGCAACAACGACCTCCTGAACAAGCTCCATTGGTCGGAGGACGCGAAACAATACAGCGATTACGGACTTCATACGGATGATGTCATGTTGGTGAAACAGAAGTCGAAGCCCGGGGAGCCCCCCTTGCCCATGGTTCGATACACGATTAAGGCTCCAAGGAAACGATTCGTCAATCAATTAGGCTACGTCAGTCTATTCCCTCTGATCATGAGACTCCTCGATCCCGACTCACCGCAATTGCGTGAAATTCTACAAGGCCTCGACGACCCCAAGACCATGTGGACCGATTACGGTTTGCGATCGCTTTCACAGACGAGTAAGCTGTACAACACTCGAAACACGGAGCATGATCCGCCCTATTGGCGAGGGAACATATGGATCAACATCAATTTTCTTGTGATTCGTGGTTTGAGGCATTACGCAACAATCGATGGTCCCCACAAAGCTCTAGCGGGATCCTTATGTGATCGACTGCGTGCGAACGTTGTCAATAATGTATTGAAAGAGTACTCGCGAACAGGGTTTATCTGGGAAAATTATGATGATTTCTCAGGCAAAGGACACGGCAGTCATCCTTTCACCGGATGGTCAGCGCTCGTCGTCCTCCTGATGGGCGAGCAGTATTGATCTGAGCGATGGAGAGTTCCACAAGATGGTGGCAATATCGAGTTGCGAACGGAGTCAGTACCGTTGAGGTCAGGATCGCTGACGAACCAGGGCTAGTTTGGGTGTTTTGCAGCGATGGAACATTCCAAGGTCCGTCTCGATGGAGAGCGGTCCGGCTAGAGTACGGGGAGCGGGAAATGAATGCAGATTGATGAATGTGAATCTGGTGCCCACCACTAATTGCTCAATTAAGACAAGGAGGGTTGATGAACACTCGATAAGTCTGTGTGTGGATGCGATTCTAATGATCGACTGGCGATCGAGGTGGATATGAGCTCGCTTATTTGGTCATGTAGGTATGTCAGGGCTTGGTTCCCTCTATTTGGTCGATTCCTCTCCCGAGAACGATCGGAGTTTGGCTACGCAACCAAAAATAAGTTATGTGAAGGATGATCACCGATGTCGCTGAGATGCCTGGAGGACAACAGAGAATAAAGACGGAGAAGCGGAAGAATCGTTTTATCTTCTGAATGGAATTCAAATTAGCTCAAGGTAGAGGTATGGATCAATAACTTAGCTCTCAGCCACTTTATTCGAGGGTAAAAGTTATAAATATTATTTACAAGCGTCCATTCTCTCGCTAGAGCGCTCGTTAATTAACATATCCTTGAATTAGAGGCGAAAATCCCTCCCCGTGGGGTTCGAGTAATCGACTCGAATGCAAGCGAATGTTGACAAGAGCTTCTCTAATCGTGCGATCCTGGACGTCGAAGTCGGAGGTCGTTCCCGGCCCTGTTCATTCAAGAAAATAATCGCCGCGCAAATATCTCGATCTAGAATGTTTTCCGGTGTAAAGCTTTGACGCCATTCTCTTCGTACTCTCGTCTGGAAACCCACATTCTCTTGAAGGTATCGAGCGATGCGAGGATTGAACCACTGAAATGTACGACCGCAGAATAAGTTCCTTGGGTCTCTGGGTCGATTATCTTCATGAGGGAATCGACCGCTATCTGTGGTATGTCATGCAGAACTCACCCGATCCACGTTGAGTAGAGCCGTTCTTGAGGAGCGGAAATCCGGATCTTATTCGACTTTGGCGCGATCTTTTTGACCTCGCTCAACAGACGGTCTCCGAAACCTTTGAACAGGGTCGACCCTCCAGAAAGAACGATGTTTTGGTACAGCACCTTCCTGAGGTCCATGTCACATCGTTGGATCGCATAGACCAGGACCTCATGAATTCCCTCGTATTCTTGACCAATGAGATCCGGTCGGAAGAGTACTTCTGGCGCCTTGTATCTCGCAGTCCCGACGTCAATCGTGCTACCGTCTGGCAGCATGTGTTGCGTTTTCTCCATTTCGCTGCCCTCGTCTCGCTGGCAGATCGTTGACAGATGGCAAACTTTCTCCTTGATGCTCTTCACGATTTCTAGTTCGGCCGAGGTGTGAAAATTATGTCCCTCTCTTCGCAGGAGCCGTCTAAGATACCTCGTGACATCTCGGCCGGCCACGTCAATGCGCATGATCGAATGAGGAATAGCGAAACCCTCGTAGATCGGTACCGCATGTGAAACGCCGTCTCCCGAATCCAAGACCACGCCTGTTGTTCTCCCGGTCGCGTACAGACTGAGAACAGCTTGCATGGACACGAACAGCGCAGGAACGTTGAAAGTTTCGAAGAACACTTCGGCAGCCTTCTCACGGTTCTTGAGGGGATTGATCGGCGCTTCTGTCAGTAAGACAGGATGCTAAAAGAAATAATACACCGTGAGCTCTCGCCGCGATTCTGGTGAAAGCAGAATATCCAAGGGTTCCTCGGAGCAGTGATAGAAATACTCGCCTCCTCGGAAAATGTCTGCAACTGGTCCTTCGAGTAGATGTATTGCCAGATCTTCTCCATGTCATTCCAATCGTTGACGACCCCGTGTTCGATTGGATAACGGATGGTGAGGAGCCCCCTGTGCTCCTCTGCTTTCGGTCCCACGAACACGTCTCCCTCCAGGGCACCGGCCATCACACGTTTGTGCTTCGGACGACCGATGCTGTAAAATAAATTGAATTCTTATTTGGACTCGCAATGATTTAGACGAAGCTTCGAAACCGTCGCGCATAGAAAAAGACTCACAAGTTTGGGAATCGACATTTTGGAACTTGGTCTCCCGCGAAGCCGGCTTTTATGGTCCCAGAGCCCTGTAAGATCCGAGACATAGGCATTGCGTGAATTGTCCTTGAAGTTGACGCGAGTTCGACTTTCCAGAAGAGACGGCTCCGTACAGCAGAAGAGCCGCCACCGAGACATGGTCACGTAATACCGGCCGATGAATAATTGAAGACATTGACACCGAAAAAATTCGCGGCGGCGATGTACTAAGGTCTCATGAGAGACTATCTCATCATTCCAAATCTTGTATCCCTCTCCGATCAGATTTCCTTTCAATGATTCCATGAATCTCACAGAGCTGATCTTGTCCTACGGGGGATCGTGAAGGAACAGAACCTCGGGTGACTTGTGACCACCTGGTTTTCGCCGACGGCTAACCCCAGGCTTACTCCGATCGTGGCGTGATATAGTTCAGAGATGAGTGAAATTATGATGGTTCGGAGCTTGGATAATGCACTCTGCCCTTTCGAAGCCATAATAAAATTTATGAGTGACTTCGACAAACAGATTTCGGAGTTTCTTGTCAATCGAGGAGTCACGTCGCAGACCTCTCGAGTTATACTCATCGCCCACTCACATTGTCTATGACAACCGGTTGATTCGTGATGACATCGTAAGCTTCCATGATGTGAATGTGAGATGATGAGAATCCTCGAAAGCCGGGAAATACTTCAGATGATGACACACCTCACTCTACAACAGCAGCAGCAGACGTTTTTCCACACCCAATACAAACGGCTTTCATAGGCGAGGTCTGGGACGACATCTGACCGAAAGAAAACAACAATGTAGCAGACGGATCGAGAGATGTTTGGCGCTGAGTGAGCGCAACTCTCAATTCGACTCATTCCGCCACCTGAGCTCACCCTTCGGGGCTTGGCGTCATCAGAGGATTTTCTTCATTTACGGCGGCCCACTTTTCTCACTCAGAATTTACCTAATAGTACTCCTGCACTTCCCCCAGTTCTCTTGTTTATTTTCGAGTAATACGCCCTATCGCCGCCACGCCACCAACTAGGACTCCGATTCGTATTGAGCCTTCGAACCTAAAAACGGAACCGGATCGATCGAAGGAGAGCACGCCATGGCTTCTGAAAATCGCGACGATAGACATATTCACATGGAGACAAGAGCGAACGCGGGACGGGTTTCAAAACTGAAAATGATTCCGGGACGAGTGTGGTGGTCAGATGATGCCGTCATCATTGCTGACTGGGAGCGGGAGATACGAATGCTGCAGAGCTTTTCCTGAGCGATGCTCACCCCGTGCTCCACGACATAGACGCAGTATTTTCCGACACAGAGTGATCGGGGCAGTCTGACTCAAAAACCGCAGACATAGGAGCTGGACCAAGGATTCCCGTTCTGGAAGCGTCAGAAGATCCACAATAGGTTCTCGAGTTCATGCAGGACATGGGACCGGGCGCGGGAAGCCGTAATAGCTGCTCACGAGGTCCGAGCTTACGGAACGATGGAGAATTCACCCGTAGGAATCGTCCTCTGTAATTCGCGAAGGAGCCGGCAGCAATCATCCCAATCCCGATTGAGGATACGAGTTTTCCTCCTGTTTGTTGATGTATTCAATGACGGAGCCCAGATTCTTGGGGCGGGACAGCGTCCACCCAAGCGACGGCATTCTTACGACATTCAGGTGAAACGAAAAAGGAGCTTTTTCCACCATAAATTCAAGGAATCATGAAATCCGAAACTCTGCCTCTAGACGCACTAAGCGAGAACTCAAGAAAGGAGGATCACAAGGGGGAAATTGTGTCATCTGCATTTACGGCCAGGCTGCGGTGCTCACGACTACAAAACCGTAGAATAAGCTTCGATAATATCTGCTCGCTACGCATTGACGTACATCTACCGGATGGACAAAGTCGGGAACGTCTGAGAGCGTCTTATTCTTAGCGTTCCTCTCTTGTCCTGCCCAGTTCACCAGGAGCTCACGATCATATCGTTGACCCGGGCTGGGTATATATACAATATGCTTGGTGAGTCGAAAACAGAGCGCAGAGAAGGGGGATCATCAATTTTTTCAGCGGGAGGTCCATCGCGGTGGTGGATCCTCGTCGCATGACGAATTCACCCGCGACGTCGGGAGAATCAGGGAAGCCAAGAATCCGCCAGATTACTGCGGGGAACTTCCCCGAGGGGATCGGCCTGCGTCTCCCATATCGAAACCATTGGGGCAAGACAACCAGAAGCTGATGGAGAGCACTCACGGAGCCAAGATGTGAGAGCGATATGATTTTACCCAGTTAGTCAAATGAACCTGTGATCTTGGCTGATCTCAAACGAGCGAATTCAATGGATGTTTGGCTGAGACGGCATCACGGAATGATGACCGAGCGTCTTGGACAGGCACGAGATTTTTCTCGATGCCACACTAAGCCAAGAAGCTAATCCAGTTTCGTTCGGCGAGGGGCGTGTGTCAAAAACTCCTACAGTCGTAGAGAATGACAGTCCGTAGTCGATCGTTTCTATCTGTTCTCAAGTGAAGCTTAAACTCCGAAACATTGTCCGTACTTGAGGCGAGACTGGAGAATGGCGGGTGCCACGAAAAAAGCCACAGGTTACATTCAAGTGAAGCTGATTCCTGACGATCGAAATAGTCAGACGTGGACTGGTTGGTGTCAGCGATGGGTCGATCTGTTGGTGGTGTCCGAGGACAGCGGGCGAAGTAAACGAGAGAAGATTCCGGAAGTCTGGCTGGAAGTTCGTAAAAGTAAAAACTCCGGCAAACCGATCAAAGTGTGGACCGTGGACGCAAAGGGTTCGTTACACGACTGCCATGAGTGGCCTTATAAGAATACGTTCGAGATATCACTGATACCGAAAACTTGTGCGGAATTCCCAGAAATACCATTCATTGAGTCAGGATAGTGGGGAAAGGTATACGTAGTTTCGGGATCCCAGCCCGTCCTGCGGGTTCCCTATCTCCTTCGTGGTGAGGATTTTGAATTCTGTTGCAGACACTGTCCTTTACCGGTGCACGTCGAAGAGGAAAGCGCATGCTTTCGCCATTCAATATAGGAAGAAGGACATAGTGTATCTCAGTGGAAATTCCGAAGGCGAAAGCAACGATTGGATGAAAATCGTTCGTGAGTGTCTGTGGCCAACAGACAAGATTGTTGAGCTTGAAATTTGTGAGTATCTTCCCACGTCATCCCTCCCGACTGAATTCGATAATCGAAGCCCCGGCCACATGAAACTTCCGATCGAGAAAAAAACTACGGTACGTCATTGGAGCCGCTTCGACTCATGTCGAACCTCAATCGGATTTTGCAGCTACCGAGCGATTGTTCGAGGCATCGGTCATTGACAACAGCTATTCCGCTTCGTGTGGATTGTTCGGCAAATACGGTCACCTGTCATGTCGGGAGAATAAACTCATCATGTTCGATAACAACGGCTCGAATGTGATACAAGAATGGTACCTCCACACGATCCGCAAGATGGAGGCTTTCAAAGCCAGTGCCAACGACAAGGGTCAGGTTCTGACCATCTACCTTGGAGAGTAAGGAGTGATCTCATGATTTCTGCATATGCTGGGATACATTCGCTAGCTGTCTAATACTGTGGTAACACTTCCAGGAACAGCTCGACTGGATGTGGAGTTGTTTACTTTTTTTGTCCCAAAGCGGTTTCCCTATTAAAGAGCATTCGAACGCGGATCAGAGACGTTTTCAACGATCTCGCGGATGACAAAAAAGTACAACAAGCGACGCTTATGAGTCTCGGAGCACTGCACGACGTCAGTCTCGAGGAGTCGGAGGTCAAAGAGCCCCTAATGAATCTGATCATAGCCGATGTGAGTCAGCCCGCGCTCCGCTTCGCCACAACGAAGTGTGGGGGTCCTTGTGAGGAATGAGGAGAATCGTTTTACCGGGACAAGTTCTGGACGACCTTATTTCAGGAAATCATCAAAGCGAAACAAGATCTCTCTCAGAGCAAGAGACTACAAGCCCTCAAGCCCACCGTCCAAGAGGCAACAAATAAAAATGAGCCCTTCATTTGGAAAGATAACGAGCTTTTCGAAGAGGTCGGAAAGCGAGTCCCGATTATTTCTTCAAAATACTTATCGAAATCGATACCAGGCCTCGGCTATCATTAGGTATTCTTGAAAGACTCGGAGGCTCCCACGATATTTGTTCGCCAGAGAAAGAGGACTCGATTCCTATTGACGTTTCCAGGACACCGTCAAAGCCCCCCTCAAAGCCGATTACACTCCGCCGGATGAAGAGCCTCCCAAGAAGCCCCGACGAGCATCTCTCACCCAATCACTCAGTTTCATGAAGCGACCACGAGCCCGTAAGTAATAATAACATCAAATCGGCGCAGGCGATTGCATAACGTTTCGGATAATTATCTCGAATTCAGATATGTAATGATTCCTCATTCTGGAGGCTTACGTCTATACTCTGCTGCTCAGAATTAGGCGAGATAGAACTCGTCTATTCCAGGCAGTACTACACCTGACGATTCCGCACGACCTAGACGTGAACAGCGTCGCGGCAGCCTCCCACAGAGCGCACGCTTCTTTGCCAAATCTCCGACGAAGACATTCGAAAACGATATGAAAGTACAGCTGCAGAAATTCCAACAGATATTGAACCTTGCCGATTCGGAGAACAGCGAGAAGGTTGGATCGAAAATTGTCGTATGAACTTCTGCCAGGAATATATCGACCGATTATGGGAAGTCGCGACGTGGTCGTCATCCCGGGATACCAATCGCATTCCGACTGAAACTGATTGATGGCACCTTTCAGATTTTCCCCGTTGTTGGGAGCCCGAAGAATCTGAGTCGACCGGAATCCAGCGAGGTGGTAGCACAAGAAACTACAACTCTGAGCGCTTTGGACGAGTGTTCTGAGGGAACCACGTCGCGATCTGTCTCGTTGTCCAGCTTCACAGCGCAATTATTGATTGACGATAAACCGATGGAAACCGCGGACTCGACACCCGATAACCCAATTAGCGCTGATCAACAACTTGATTCGACAAGCGGTGTTCAAGCCGAAACTGAGAATCCGAAAACCGATAATGAGGATTCTTTGTCGGACGAGCCTGGCAATATTACGGCGGAGAGCATCGTTTCAGCTGATGATGCGGTCTTCAGGGAACCCGAACTCGATCTGCGCTTGCGTGAATCTGACGAGGATCAACCACTCGACAATACTGATCGGAACGATGACCCGGCACTTGCGAAGAGTGTGGCGTATACGGAGTCCACAAGGACAGCCGAGAGACTGGACGGTGGCAGTCTTAGCGCGAGCGAAGAGGTGAGTCCGAAGCAAGAAAATCTTCCGGGAAGAGTTGAGGCTCAGGAACTTTGAATAATCATCCGAGAACTTCCAGGTGACCGACCTACAAGGCGTTCCGCCGAGCCCTCAGGACGAGGTATGAGGATGCTCAAGTACGAGAAAAGAGATCACGGCAGAATGACTTTCTGGGAAGTTCCGTAAGCTGACGATCTATTGCCAAATTCATTTTCAGCCGACTTCAGGTTCATCCAACGGAAAAGACGCCCTCGATTCGGGAGAACCGTCGCCTGCGACAGCTGACATCACGAGTACGGGTACGTTCTGCACTGCATGTATTCCCGTTCCCGAGGTCGATCGAGGGTTCTGAATGCCGAAATAATTCCTCGAAGGAGCCGAGCTCATCAGCCTGGCGTAGCAGATCGAGTTCAGATGTGTTCGCAATATGATAATTCGTCAATTGCAGATCGTAAGGGGAGCTCGCATGCTGTAAAAATCAACTTCGGACCTCCGCCAAAGCCCAAGAGGATATCCAGGAATAGCAAAGAACTTTGAGCGAAATCAGCGCTCCCGTGTCTAGCCTCGAACTAATACAGGAGATATCCATCGGCTCAGCTGACCAGGAGTTCCCTCAACAATAGGTTCGGCCGCGCGCCCCCGATCCGGAGAGATTACTAGTGTCAGACCCGTCGACCGGGATCCACGAGTTTACTATTTCATTCTCCGAGAGAGTCAACGGTCTGCCACGGACCGAGGATGAGGTGACACCTGATTAAAGACTTCCCCATTCTTCATCAGCCCGGATCTTCGTCGCGGTAATCGTCGTCGCTGTCCCACGTTGAAAGAGCGCGCTGACCGTACTTCCAAGCGCGTTCTTGGAGATCTTATCAGTGTCCATTTAGCAAATGAGAGATCCCAAAAAAAGGTACCGAGAAAAAAATCCGAAGTGCTCTCTCGCTCGAGGAAAGCCACCTCGACTTCCAGAATCCTAGGGGAGTCGCGGCTACGTACGCCATCATATGTCATACGTTGAAGGCTCGCCCTCTTTCTTCGGGGTTTTCTCTTTCACGTGCCGGTTCGCTCTCTCCCTCTCACCCTCTCCACACCTCACGCGCTCCTCCTTCCGAGCCGCGGGTACCGGCGCGGCGCCAACAGATTCAGACCTTCCGAAAGACGCTGGCGGGTTTCGCTCGAGTCAAGTATCTTGTGCTTCTACATCGATTATTTTTGACACTTTGGCGCGCATGACGTTCGTTTGACCGCTTATTGGTTCGCTGTGGATTGACTTTTTTGTGTGAGGGTAGTCGTCTTCACTCCAGAGGATTACAGCTCGGAGTCTCCGCAGAAGCTTGTTTGTTTTGAATCTACGCGCAGAACAGGTATGTGGCCCGACCGGAACCAAACTTGTCTGAGGAAGTCACATGGGACGTGCCGCTCATCGCTTTCCATTTTCGAATCCCGCTCGAGACTCGAGAGTCCGCCTTAATCCCACTCGATCTGATTGGATTCCGCGCTTGTTCCTGCTCGACTCGGACAATATCTCGGAAATCGACCGACCTGAGAATCCAATTTGGAACAGTCGGAGATCGACTGTGCTCTTCGATTTCCTTTCTAATTTCGGTCGATGGAGACAACGACCCAAGATCGGGCAAAACTGCTCTTCTCTTATTCATGATAGGTCAAGTCGAACCGTGAAAAAAGTTTGTTCACTCTGTGATAGCGCGAGAGTCCCCTGACTTCGGGAAGACTCCAGGCCAAGGCAGCGAGTCATTAAACCCTCTCGGCCCGGCTCTATCTCTAATCTACGCGGGCTCGCTGCCCGCTCTGGCGACACCCCACGTTCTTCATGAAAAATTGAGCTCGCGCGTCGGAAAGCTTCAAAATGAGAATATCCGAAAAAAGATTTGACGAAGAATCGATCAGTGGTGCGCTATAAAAGCATCGCATCCCGCGGTCGACTCGGATGTACGGAACGCGCGGTTCCTTGAATTCAAAGCATCCAAGTGAATTCCTCCGATTTTCCGAATACTTCCTCGTGGACCATTGACACTGTAATGGGAGGGAAGTTGACTCATGAAGTAGTTCGCGCAATTCGTTTCCGCGAAAATAACCGGCTGATTCGGAGAGTCATGCACCTTATCGAGCTCCCTTGGCTCATTCGGGAAGCCTGGAGTAATTTTCTCTAAGACAGAGAGCCCTTCAAATCGGCGACGAGTTTTCGTGCTCGGCTTGCCCACGGCTCCGTCCGGCTGCGGAAATGCTTCGATCCCTAAAGCATTTCGATTCTGCTCCGATTCGATCTGGGCTATGGATATATTCATGGGTTCCATTCGCTCGAGCGAAAAAGCATTACTGATGGTTTTCGGTGCGACTGCACGGAATATTCATACCTTGATCTAGTGTTCCAAACGGGAGCTCATCTCGGGCGTTCCCTTCAGGAGTGATGGGATGATCTGAACAAGCAGTTTTATCAAGCTCTAACATCTCCGTTATCCGTCGCTGGGATCTGGCTATATGTATGGACTTTCCCTGATATCGAGCTGCTCACGACTCGCCGGGAACGAGAGAAACAGAATGCAAGTCTGATGTCTCTCACTGAGCAACTTCGGCCACGGAAGAGAAAATCCACGATAACACCAAGAAACAAATCGACAAAAACGAGTGGAAACCATCAAGAAATAAAGCATTCCGATTGTAACGCATTCATTATCGAAGCCGGTTGCGCTGACCGCCGCTTCTTTCTCTTGAAGCTTTTCTGTGCTCCCAGTGTGACTTGGACGACATGAGTTCATTTAGGCTGAACAAGGACATTTTATGAAGTACTTCCTTGCTGAAAGCCGGCATATCCTGAACTCCATTGTTGGGAAATCGAACGCCCGCTGGCTTTTCTCTGTTCCGATCAGGAGCATGATGTACACTCGTTCAAAAGGCTCAATCTTTCGATATTCTCCAGAGAAACATATTCAGAAAGTTCCCAGGAAGAATACGGAATTCCTCCGGAATGCTGCGCGGCGAGGATCGGCTCGCTGCTATGTAGTTCGTTGCCTGCCGGGATCGTCTGATGAATTTCCAGTCGACCGCTAAGCTTCGAACATCGTTGTGATGACTCGGTTTCGAATCGATCCGATGGCAATCTTCTAGATAGGAAGTATCTTGTGTGCTCATCATATAGATATCTTGCGGGCAGTAATTTTCTCATTGACGGCGGAATAGAGGAGAATAGCTCAACTCTGGCCAGCTGGGATTGGCCGGTAATCGAATATCTTGGGGAGAACGGGGAAATTTCGATGACAGAATCGCGTGTCGGCCTCTCCGTTGTAGGTAGCTTCATCTGAAATTCATGTGCCTCTATGTTATCAACACGCCGCGCCGAGCTTTAGATTTCATCGGATTGAAGTGTGTTCAATGCCTTGCTCTTGTTCGGCTCAATCCAAGACTCAGGACAGATTTTGATGGATCCGCCGTCAGCAACGTCCGTACATGCATACATTTCAAAAGGGCAAACTTTATTTACAAAGCGTCGACTTGAGCCAAGTTCGAATCAGTTCCGCGACTTCCTTCTGACCATCGATCAAGTGTCGAAAAGTAAAAGTGAATTCCGGTCAAAAGCTCCGTGGCGACAGACGTAACAGATCGAGACGCATAGGCCGGAGCAATCTTTTCAGCTGGAAATTTGTTACTACTACGATCGTGCCCAGCGTTCCGACCGGGATTCTTTTTTCTCTATTTTCCCTTTGCCGCTGATATATCAACCTCCGGTTCAAAGCGGTGACGGATTTCTCATCCTGGTCGTCAGGTAAAGGTTGTCGCTTTGAATTCCTTCCTCCGAGCCCTCGTGGCGGAGTCAGGTGGAGTCTACTCCATTCTGCTTTCGAAAGTCAAAGATCGCACTATCCGAAGCAGCGCCTCTCTCATATGCATTATCACATGCCCGTCAGAAGTGAACGCGATTCGTTGCTTTTCCTAGCGCTCAGAGAGTCCGTTGAAGTCAGTAATTCATTCGTCACCAGAGTCGAGCCGACGTTGAGAATTTGGTTTCCGGTGTCGCTCAAGGTGTTCTGCTTCGGGGTACCATGAAAAGCTTGAACCGGTGAGACAATCGAACATGCATGAATCTAGCATTTCAATTGTATGCGATAGAGCTCTTCATCGATGAACAACAAGAGAGTCGGCAGCGGCGATTTGCGATTACGGTATTTAGCCTGGTGATTATTTTCTTATTATGATGATTATCGAAATCGTCTACATCGGGATAGCGAAGCTTCGCACGATGGACAACCCGTGTATTTCGACAGCGCCAGTGAGAACAACGTTGACATCAATGATTGAGCAGCCGCAGAATAGTCGTCAACCGACGACGCATTCTTCGGATAAACGGATGGTCCAGTTGTCGAAGTTGTTTTGATTTGAAGAGATTACTGTTACGAGCAGTCGCCGTACAGCGTTGCGGTCAGAAGCGGAGCGTGGTCCGAAGTTTTAGAGTCGTATCGATAAGGATGATCGTGTATTCGCTCACCGCATCAGTGAGATTGTTACGGGAGATCCCTCTCCTTCACTTCTCCCCTCCCCAGTACCGATGCCCATTGTGGATCAAGCGCATATCGGGTCGAGATATGGAATGAATCAACGAATTAATGCACTGTCGAAGTCAATTCATACTCTGGGAAGAAATCAGCGGGATTCAAGGCTCGGACGGGGAAAATGAGCACCGCGCCGCGACGCTGGTCGGTCTTTTTTGGACTTTTTTTTCGTTTTCCCCCTGCTTATATTGTGGTTTCCGCTGATGTCTCTCGGATGCGTGAGCTCATCAACTCACTGCGACGACTTCAATCAGCTCCACAGGAGAGTGAGAAGTTCTGTCGATCAGTCGAGAAACGCCATCGACGAATTAGTTTGCCTGTATCCTCTCGGTGTATTCACCCCACCTGAAACGAGCTGACACGGCGTCTGATCGCGTAATGAATCAAGCTGCGTAAGGCCGTTCGAATAGACCGTTCACGTGGTCAACGGTAATAATCGACGGCTAATCCTGCGGGCCCTCGGGCGAACGGCTCGTAATGGTTACCAAAGTGCATGAACATGTTGCTATCTCTCTGAGGCCCACGGGTTCTCGGATTTCCTTTCGGGGCGGCAGCAGCTCTAGTGGTTAGCATTGTTTATGGCTCATGGGGGTGGGACATCACTCGCCGATACACTGCGCATCAGATGGCAGAGGGAGAAAGGAGAGTTCGTCCGACAGAATCAATGTCAGGCCGACGACCATCGACGGATGCCCAAGATTGACAGTGCTTTCGAATTCGGCGAAGAATGCGACTCGGTTGCGGAGAATGTCATTGGGTCGGTCACTCAGTCACTCGGATCTTGGAGCCGAGCCATTTGTACCATGTATCAAGATTTCACACCTGTCAGGACCAGGCAGCGATGAATTGAGACGAATGGCCCCCATGAGGCGGAACCTCAGCTGAGCGAGGTGATGGGAAACATGTAAAGTGACTCGTCCCAACGATAATCCCCCTAAGTGTCAAACAGATTCCTTAAACGGAAAATGAAAAGTGAATCACAATGGACCGTCGTAACTTCGCCGTCCCTCCGTCGCGGCCGCTGTTGCCGATGGCGCCCAGGATGTCTGTCTAGAGGGAGTAATGTGCGAACAAAGAAGTTCTTCTAACCGACCCAACGCCCTAATTGGGTTGCATGTTGAGCCGTGTTACGGAGAAGGAAGTTGTGATCTTCCTTTCGACTTGACGGTGGTCTTCTCCGCCTTCTCCGACAAACAATTTGTCTCTGGAGCG